GGCGACAAATCTATCAACTGCTATCCACACCAAGCTTTGAGCTGAAACAAGAAGAGACACTGAGCTTGCGAAATAAAACAACTTACAAAACCTCGATCCTAATATTCCGCCGACGTGCCAGTGCAATGACATGGTGACCAATTGAGTTATCTGAACAGGAAGTAAAATCAGCGAGAAAAGCAGATCGGACACAGCCATGTTCACGATGAAATAGTTGATAGTTTTTGGTAAATCTAATTGATGCTTGTAGACGATGATGATTATGAACGTGTTCCCAAAAAAACTGCCCTGTAGAATAGAACAACGTGCGCAAAGTTTGATAATAATTATTCTCGCTGCATTAGACTCAACAATGATACATGTTGAGTTCTGTTGACCAAGTGCAGTTTCGTTCCCAATAAAAGTGACGGTTGTGTTTTTCTCAATGACATATGATGCTCTGCTTTGCTTTCAGAAGCGTGCTGTTACGCTAGAGCTAAGGTCGAGCGAATGCATCCTTAGTTTCGTAATAACTGATATATTGGAAATTGAATTTTAATTTTTCCCGTGCGAAGTCATCAGTTAAAGATTTAATTGAAGAGCAAATGAAAATCAATTTTCGCTCTTCCATTCATTTCTGGTAAAGAAAGATTGAATTCGCGGAAAGGCTTCATTTGGTTTACAAAACAGAAGTATTACCATTTAGATTGTCTTCTCTTCTGCCTACTATTACAAACAAACCATTTCCTTGACCTCATAGAGAGGAAGTAATTTGGCATTCCGAGCAGTGAAACGTAATTAAAACTCAACAGAAAAAGGTTTCCAGGCTGTCATTGAGCAATAGTTACGACATGGCCGATGGAAGTTCAATTGTCAATGCAAACAACCTTAGAGCCTTTTGTAATGTGGTACAGTTGATATCAATGGCTTTGAAATTAGAAAGCTGTCATGATGGTTTGTATAGCGAGTCGCAAATTTCCGCTGTTAGGCGGGGCGTAGAATATGGCAAGTGTTCTATTTGGCCCCTTTAACCTAGATCAGGTATTAAATCATTTCAAAGGCAACAAAGATGGTCTAATAGAGCTGATTTCTAGTGGAATTTCTTTCTGTTTTGATAGTCGCCATAGACATGTCGAGTTCGCTGTGTCATTTAAACTTGATTCGAAATAGCTTTATTCATTTGCTTTTATGAGCATGTGTAATAAAACTATTGAAGACGTGTTTACAAACATCAAGGAATTAATATACAGAGAATAAAGGCAAATCGTTAATTCAATAGCTACATGTATTGCACCAATCAAAGAAGATCTTTTGAAATGATTAATACATAAAGCTCTCTCAAGCTTAAGAACGTGAATACAAATTCAACATTACTTTTTTAATAACTAGTTAAGAAATTTTCTACATTATATGCAAGACTAACGAATATACAACTACTTGGACGCATTATACTACACCAAAACTGGCAATTTAACAATGTGAGAAATTTCAATGCCATTGAATTTAGTTGTAAATTTTAAAAAAAAAGGCTTGTTTTCATAGTTATAAAGTCCTAGCTTTGTGAGTACTGATGAAATAACCTATACTAAAACGTGATTGCGTTGTTAAAAATGAAACACTTGATGTTTATTCCTCGGTACACGTAAATTTTCCTCGACATTTCTCATCGAAGTTTGCTTTGGTGCTCTAGCATTTATATCTACATTTTTCGGAACGGAATTAAACTATATCTCTACAAGGCAATATCCAATGTTTGGTTGTATATATATATATATATATATTTGTGTGTGTGTGTGTGTGTGTGATCCTGAAAGGCTGTCGATAGCTTTCTCCACGTAGAGTTTTTATCTTCATTAGATTTGATTCTCCGCAGTTTGGCGTCACATGGCGTACAGCTTTCTGCTTGCACAAGGACATAAAATGTTCCTCAGGCCACGACGATAACTTTCAACAAATGACAGACAAATTATTGGATTGACGGTGGAAGATGAGTAATACGACAAACTCGACACAAAAAATAGTATTCTCTGAATGGCACAAGAAGATCTCAGGTATGGGTTGAAATATACCAAAGTGTTTGGAATAACACAAAGGTAAAACAAAACCAAGATAGCAACTGCCAATTTAATGGCTTGTCTTCGTTTCTTCTTGACATGTCGTTTTGCCTTGGAAGGGGTGCCCACGAGGACTTTCTTTTGCAGTTTTAAGGTAATTGCTATCGCAGTGTACATAACGGTTATTACAACTAACGGAGCAATGATGAATAAAGAAACCTGAAGCCAAATATATGTCATGTTAGCTTGCTTGTTAAAGAGAAATGATCCCATATTTGTCTCTACACAAGTTGTGTCATTGCCATACGCAACAAGTTTCGAAGATATTAGCAGTGGAAAATTGACAAAGCCTGCACAAATCCAGGTAGAAACGATGGCTATCGTTCGAATCTTGCTTGAAATAAGTCCAAGTTTCATTGGAAAAACTACGGCGACAAATCTATCAATTGCTGTCCACACCAAGCTTT